TGCATTGTTGTAGGCTTGTGTTCCCTTTTCTGGGCAGTTTGAAGTTGTGTGGCCTTCAACTCCCAATATCCCCCAGCAAGCGGGGGGGGGGCTGGCTGGCTGGGGAATTCTGGGAGTTGAAGTCCACACATCTTCAAGCTGCCAAGATTGAGAAACACTGGCCTAGATCTATGCAAAGGGAACTGAGTACCCCAGCAGAATGTTTCCTGGATTCTGGCATTGGAGCAGCCTCTGAAAATTTGGGCTTTGGAGCCTAAATAAAATAACATTTTGAACTAGTCAGCTCTCATTCATTATTTGGAAGTATTTCTTGATTAGAGCTTAGGAAAAGACTGCTCCCAGTGGCAAATACTCCTTTATCCTCAGTTCTCACTCCATTTTACATTTATAGCAACTGTCAACATCGTAATTGCATTTTCAGATCCTTAAAATGTATCGTAACTGATAAATATACAAACAAAAGACCAGTAAGCTTGGTGTGACCCTGGTTCTTCTTTAGCATGGTGGTGGGACTTCAGATAAGAAAGGTTGAGACCTCTAGTTTATTAGATGGTAGGATTTCAGAAGGGACGAGTTACACTGACCACCAGGAGGCATGACATAATGGAACATCTGTATCTCTCTGTCTTAGAGGGCTTAAAGGAAGGTGGACTGTCTATTCCATTTTGATAGCCAGGAGGGACAAGGAGAGCTACAGCCAGAATGGATGGATAGATCCACAAGATCCATTTGTGGCCTTTTCAGCCTAAATATTGGATGTAATCCCTTTAAATAAATAAACCAAGTAACTCATGGTTCTGCATAAAGGCTGGTCATGGGAACACTTTTGGCTTATTCCAGGTGATGGCAACCTTGTCCAACCCAGGTGCAATCTGATACAACAGCACAAGGGGCAGCCATCCTACAATTGGCTGAAACCTCACATGATTTTGGCAATCTCACCAGAGTCAGATGGTTTGAACTGGGCAGTCATAAATGTTCTAAATTAATAAAAATGAACCCATGTTTGTACCTGAAGTCATACAAGATAATGCTTATATTATTATTATTATTATTATTATTATTATTATTACTACTACTACTACTACTACTACTACTACTACTAATGATTATTGCTTCAATTTGTAACCCACCTTTCTGCCATAGGGGGTTCATGGACCCCATGCAAAAGCCATTAAATTATGTTTATTTTATGTTGGGGTTCTAGGAACGCTATCTGCTTCATTCCAGTCTCTGGCTGATGGTCTATTGCTTTTTATTTATTTGATAGTCCAAGTTAACAGTATTGATTAGATCCTTACTGGTGTCTATTGGGGTGTATCTGAAAGGTTGGATGTGTCTAGACAAGATCATGGGATAGCAACAGGCTCTAGAGAACCATAGGCAAAATTCTATTTGCACAATGATGAAAATTATTTCCTTCCCACCATAGTTGTGCATGTCTCTCAAAGCTACTCCTGGGGGCTAGGAAACTACAGTATGACAGGGCTGAAGCAGGAATCCGTGGAAATTGAGGTCAATTTCCCTCATGCAAATGGAGGTGGCTTCCACAGATACAAAGAACACTCTGAAAAACACCATTTTTGTGTATAACCAAAATTTGGACATACCGAGAGCTGTCTCATGGGCAGAGGTGCAAATGGGTTTTGTTGCTCATAATCTGCATCTGGAATCTCATTCGCCCAGTGGCTACTCCGGCCAACTTGGGCAGATGGGACCATGAATGCCTCGTCTGTTATTGAAGTAGGTCTCTGGGGTGGGTAGCTGTCATAAGAAAATTGAACATCCTGTAAAGAGGTTCTGTAGCCCGGGGAATGCAACCAGGAGTTGCATTCATGCAACATTAAGCTAAAGGCAAACCAACCCCATTATGGCTTAATTTACAGTATTGCCCAGGAAATGAAAACAGACAGACAAAAAACTTTCCCCTGTTACTAATTTCCTCTGCTTAGTTGAAAACAGAGCTGTTTTCACCTACTGTATACGTTATGGTCGTAATGTGGAAGTTACTGTAAGTCTGAATCCCTAAAATATTTTTCTCTGAAGGGACTTTCAGACAAAATACTGTAGATGGAAGAGTCCCAAAGTAAGATGAAATAGCTTCTCTCTGTGTGGGCTATGTGTGTGTGTATACACAGACACACACGTCTACATAATGTGTTTATGCTACACACACACACTCATATATGCATGTATGGTCTAGATTATGTCAAGTTCAATTTGATTTCCATCCACTAAAATAAATGCTTAAAATTAGTTGTGACTTCATGAGCTCCATTGATGTTATTGAGTGTGAAGGAAAGCTAACAGTCTGGATTCAAGCCCTGGGATGGAAAAAACAAAGCTTTATCCAGGGAGGTCCTACCTGAGTCTTTCAGGAAATGGGGTCTCCTGTTGGTTTGGGACCAGGGGTCTGGGAAATGCAAACATTTCTTTGGCCTGGACTTTCTGTGTAAGAAAAATCAGGAGTGGAAAATAAGCAGATCGCTTTGATTTTGTTTGCTTGTTTTTAAATAGAAAAAAAAGCCCTCCAAGTTATAATATTTATGAAAATGAAAGAAACAGATGCAGGATTATGTCGATGGAGGGAAAATAAAGCTGGAAAAATGACAAGCACCACTCTGTCATTATGGAATCAAAATTGGACATTGTACCTCAGGCTGTCCTCTAAAAGCTTGCAAAGCACCGTTCTCATTGCACGGGTAGTTCTCGTATTTTCATTTCCCATATGACCCATACCTTTCTTTCTCTTTCCCTCTCTTTCTAAAGAAGCCCATTGTCACAAATCTGCTATTTCTTTTTTCTTTCATAGGCAAGGATGTGCTGTAGTGGGGTGCAAAGGGGTGGGTGTTCATTTGGAGAAAACTGCACACTCATTGTTGCTGGCATAAACTCTTATTTTTAATTGTTTTGCCACTCTTTGTTTTTGGGACATGGCCAGCTGTTCCCTTCTCTAATCCTGATCCTTCTAGGCTTCCCTGTTCCCTTAATCAAGTTCACGCTTTCCCCTTGATGTTTCCTAGGCTCAGATCTTGTTCCAGGAAGGAACGAATAAACGAGCGAATGATGCAGTTTCTCCACCCTCTTGCACCCCCTTCCTCAACCACTCAGTAGCCAGCATGGCTAAAGAAGAGGGATGCTAAGAATTGTAGTTCAACAACCTCTAGATCAGTGTTGCTCAACCTTAGCAACTTTAAGATGGCTGGCTGGGAATTCTGGGAGTTGAAGTCCACTCATCTTAACGTTGCAAAGGTTGAGGAACCCTGATCTAGAGAGTGATCCTTGTTCTAGATCTGTATTTGCCATTGGAGGACAGTTTACAACTTCACCCCATGGCAGCATCTAGGGAAGGGTAAATTATTTTGAAAGCTAAGCAGGGCCAGTTAAGACTGGGATGAGAACCACTTGGGAATTCAAAGGCTGCTGGTAAGATAGGGAACTAAAGAAAAAATAGAAGGCAATAACAAACTATTACTGCAATACTGCCAAAACCCAGCCTAGGTGTAGTTTCTGAATTGCTGTTATATTTATCTTTGAAAATACTTCCAGAGTAATATATAGTATATAAGGTGATAGCTAATGCGTTTCTATCTTCATCCTGTTTCTCTTAGTCCCACTATTATCTGAAAACCTCAGGTTCTCGTGTAACTTTGTCACTTGTCTTATAGTGAATGTATTTACATATTGAACAAAAACTTATGCCATCTTTTTCACATAATTCCAGGAGTATCAATAATAGGAATTAATTGCCTCTTGTATATCACTGATCCTGTATCAATTTCCATTCCAATGGAAATTGATACGGGATCGGTGATATACAAGGTAAATAGGACATTAAAAAAAAGATGCAAGAGATTTCTAAACATAACTATCAGCTTTTTTTTTTCTTGCAGAAGCAAAACACCCCTTTAAAAAGTCTGAAATTAAATCAAAAGGGACCTAAAGCCACAATAACAACAATGAAATAAATTTAAAATATAATTGCTTACCAGCTGTCCATGGGGTTGAGGTCTGTGTGAGATAACAGGAGCTGGACGCCTTGCTTGACTTCTGAAAACACATCAGAATATCAGATTTTTTTAAAAGAAATATTAAGTGGAAATGTAACATCCTCCTGATGAGGAGAAAAACTGTGGCTAGGCTCATAGACCATTAAAAATGGGTAATCCCAGCCAACTGTAGGGTGATTAACAAATCATAATTAGGCTAACATTGGCTTAGTGCAGTGTTTCTCATCCTTATCAACTTTAAGATGAGTGGACTTCAACTCCCAGAATTCCCCAGCCGGCTGGGGAATTCTGGGAGTTGAA